CTCCAACCCACTGCATGCAGGGCCCCTGTTCCCCACCCCTGTGCAAAGCTCTGCAGCAGGGGCACCTGTCCCCATGGCCCTCCGCTCTGCCCCAGCTGTCCATTAGTTCCAGGAAACCCTGCCCAGACGGGCCTTGCTGATGTCACTCTGGAGAGCCCTGGGGCTGCGTGGGGTGGGGTGGCGCTTGAGCAGCCTGGTCCCATTCCAACCTAACACGCTGCACAAACTGCCCTCTTGCTAATGGCAGGAGCAATGCCAAGAGTCAAGCATGAAGGGGAGCCTGGAACTCAGGCCTGCTCCCAGGGCAGAGGAGAGGCAGGTGTGTGCTACCTGACCTGCGCGTGCTTTAGGGCAGCTTGGAGGATGCTTTGTCCCCAGGGCTAAACCAGAACTGAACTCACTTTACAAACACTACAAAAATAGCTCTGTTAGCACCAGGCAAACGGGGAAAGGCTGCATGAAAGAATACAAAGCATTGTTTGACATCCACCCTGAGATATGACTTTTATGTACTGCAATCTCTGCACAATCCTTTCAGGATTGTACTATGTATCTGAATCTCAATATTACTTAGCTGGTTAAGGGAATCACCCCAGCCCAGCTCAGGTAGATACCTCATTTCCCATTTCTTTTCAAATGCAAGAAGAACAAAATACCTTCTTGAAGTCACTCCAGTCTATTACTTAACAGTATCAGATCATTAACATGGAAAGTCATGTTTGTTTGTTTTTTTAAAGGAAGTGCATAAACTTTAAACTACATCATCACCATTAGGAAGTGCCTTAAATCCTGGTTCTGGCCTGATCCTGATTTTTTTGCAGATTCACGATTGTCCTAAATGTGCAAGACTAAATCTTTAGCTTAGAGTGGGCAAAATCTTTTTTGGTCCATAGCAAATTTGAGGTTTCAGTTATCCTGAAACTGTCTATGAATTCAGGTTGATTTTGCTGACGTTTCTTTTTGTTGTTTTCTGGGGGGAAAAAAAACACTTGTGGGGGAGCTACATTCAAAAACCCCAAAAAACTTGCGGGCCATGATCTCTTTTAACCAATGGTGCTCACATAAAATGTGGGCAACCCAGGTCTATAAAAAAATTCCACTACTCTTTGAAAGACAGAATGACTTATTAGCTTGGTGATTAGGGCACTCCAATGGGAGATGGGATATCTGGGTTTCTTCCCCTGATCCCGTGAATGTTTAGACATTAGTGGGACAGAAGAAACTGAAAACACACCACGCCATGACTTGGTGATTTAAGAAAGTTTATGGAGATTTGGGATTACCAGATTGGCTCCAGCTCCTTCTTTCAGTAACTAGGGTAGCACCTGATCTTTACTGCACAACACTAGGGCAGGAAGAAACCAGCCTTCTCAGCACAGCAAGAAACCCAGAGGAGGAGGGAAGTCTTGAAACCAGCATCTTGGCCTTGGTAGGCTTGTACTTTTTATTCCATGGAGAACAATACACTGGGCTCTCAGTTTGCAGAGAATGGTGATAGGACAATTCAAATGGGTCTCCTTCCTACAACTTGGTTGAGTGCTTTAACCCCTGAACTGTTTTGCAAACCTAACCCTTTGTTTCCTTAGCTTTTTGTTATCAGTGCTCAAAAACGAAACATTTTATTTTGTGTCAAAGGGAATGTTGGGTGTGGAATAAAACGCTTTTTTCAGGTTTTCCTTTCAGGAAGGAGAAAAAACAATTGTGGTTTGATTTAAACTGGATCTGTTTTCAGTTCAGCTGCTGAACGTAAAAAATCAATTATTCACACTGTCCTACTTTAAACAGAGAGAAAATTCAGAGAGAATGCTGGAAATATCATTTAATGCTTGGTTAGAAATTCTTTCAATAGAATTTCAGTGCTTAGGTGGGCACCTTTCTGCTTTGTAGACACTAAACACGTTTAAGTCTCTGTTCCCCAGCCTAACAAGCTAAGCAGTTCCAGCTGGGTTCCAAGCTTGGCCCCAGCTCCTTCCAAAACTGCTGAACTTTGCTGTACAACACACTGGGACAGGAAGAAACTAGCCTTCTCAGCAGAGAGGACCCAAGCAGGATGCGGGCCGGCCTGGAGCAAATCAGCCTGTGCAGGGCTCTGCACCCAGATGCAAGAAAGCCTATGGCGGATTTGGTGGTGAGGGACCAGACGTGAAGCTGGCAGCAGTGTGGAATCGCAGCATCGCTTCACCTGGCTCCGCAGCCCCCCACAAAGCAGGGGCCCAGGGCGGTTGCCCTAATTCACCTGCTCCTGTATACAAGAAACCCAGTCAAGGAGAGAAGTCTTGTACCCAGCAGCTTGGCTTTGGCAGGCTGGTACTCATTCCATAGGGACAAAATGCACTAGGCTATCAATGTGCAAGCAGCTCTTGACCCATGTACATCTAACTTTGTTTCTTATATCCCAATTCCTGGTCCTTATCTCCAGTTCTAGTTCTAGCTTCCTGACCCCTTGGCTTGGTCTCCCAGATGTAGACCTTAGGCATTTAACCTTGGCCTGGTATAAATGGACCTGCCTCTTAATCCTCACACTTTATGTGGCATCTCTGATCTAATTGACCTCTAGCAGTTGACCCTGACTTGGCTTCTGACCAACCACTAGGGCCCCTTGCTACAGCAGCTGAGATGAGATGCTTTTGCTATTCCCTGAAACTGTGCCTCTTTTTGAAATATGAACTTGACAGTTCCACAAAGGCTGCTATACTCCCCTTATCACAATAATATCTATAAGTACTTTCTTGTACTGGATTTCTAATAAACATAGTAAAGGCAATACTGGCTCACCAGTGGCAGCCGAAGTCTTTTAACTCTCTCATCATGTATAGTCTTTTAATCATTTCATCATTTAGACCTGCTCTGAACTGGATTAGGTGACAGAGGTAAAACCAGGTGGGTAATCTACACTACCATTATTGCCATTGCTACCACCAACCTCAATGAACTGGTGGGGTTGGAGTGGGCGGGGGGGTGTTGCTGGACACAGGGTTTTGTCCCCGCTGGCCCCACTCCCCCGGTCATTCTTGACAGGCAATTTGCTAGTATCAATATTTAGTCCTTGGTGCCCAGCCAGCTTGATTTTTGTTCTCAAGTTTGCCTTTTATTATTCCAACTATATAGCTGGTCCGATAAGAGATCTCACCTTAAGAAATCCTTGCCTCTTGCATAATACCTGGACCATCACGACTACATCACTCTGAACATAAAAAATAGGTGTCTTTCCAAGGTAAAGAGCTCAGACTTTATGAATCACACCCCTAAAAATCCTGAGACTGACTTGCAAATTGCATGATTTCAAAAAATAAGAATCATGGGGCTCGATTTTTTTTTTTTTGGATAAAACTGTAAATCTCATGTAATGGCCTCGTTGGAGACACCAAGTGCTTGAGTGAAGCGTGGAATAAAACGCCATTGGGACGTCTTTAGGGCAGCAGCTGACGGTCACGAAAGAACTGCCAATCGTAGCCGGTGACGTAATAGTACTAGAGCAGGCCCGCACCCGCAGGCTGCTCCTCCAGCCCGGCAGGGGGCGCTCTGCCGGGCCCCGCTGCTGCGGCCCAGGCCTGGCGTCAGGTTTGGCCACTACAAGGAGAGCGCGCACTCAGTTGCGCATGCGTATTATTAGTCTTCTCAAGCCTGTCTCTCCCGTTGCCTCCACCAGCCATGCTGCCGCCCGCGCATCCACGTGATCAGCCCCCAAGCCGGCCAACTCCACTGCGCACGCGCGTTATTACAGCCAGCCATTCTGCTGCGCACGCGCGTTATCAGCCTCCTTTTAGCCTATTTTCGTGGGAGCGGGTGCCGTAGGTCATGTGATTAGTGCCCTGCTTCCGCGTTGGCTCTTAACGTCATCAAAGCGCGCCGCTCTACCTTTCCAGCTGTTCGGTTGGGTGGCCATGGCGTTGCTAGTGCGAGACCCAGCGGCCTCTTGTGCCCGGCCGTTGCCACTACCCGATGGGGACGGCTTGGTCCGGGATTTGCTCCGCCTTCGCTGCAGGGCGCAGGTAGGGTGGGGCCCCCGGCGCGGCGCAGCCCCTCCCTTTTCTCCTGGTGGTGGTGGCGGCGATGTTGCCTCTGTAGGGAA